TTCAGAAGCAAAACCAGAAGAGCAGTGTAAAAAGAAAAGAAGTTTCAGCTAAGGTCTCACTTCAAAGTGACCACTGTAAGAGCAGGTACTTGTGAGGTTGGGTCAAAAAGAAAATATTACTGATGCCAGTTTCCTTTGATGGGATATAGGAGGAAAGTGGAGATATGAAGTGCAGGTAATGGAGTTATAGTCCATTTGTCTGTTGGTGGCAGTGGGGAGAAAACAGCCAAGAAGCACTTTTGGTGAAATGGCATATTTTAACAAGGTCTAAAAATGTCATGTCTTGCCCTAGAAGGGTGAATCAAAATCAAGAGGATTAGGTATCAACATGACAAACTAAGTTTCCCTCAGCTGCATAATGATATTTAAAAGTCCATCATTCTGTGCAAAGTTTTGCCTGTAAGCTTTTCAGGAAAGGAACTACCTTCTTTGTTACTTGTCTTTACAGTGGCTAATGTAATGGGCACTAACACTTATAGGAGTTCTAGGGTTACCACAACACAAATTATTCATAGTTACAGGTAATCTGCCTGGAGTAGTATGTGACACCAGAACTCTAATACAACTTGCTCATTTTTAAACCATCAAAATCATTGCACCAGAAAGTAACTGTTAACTTGTTTTTTCCCCATGGAAACAGGAAGCTACTGATAATAAAATCACTCCCTTTTGGTCACAAAAGCACTTGCCATTTACTATTATTGAGAAAAAGAGATGACGATGCTTTTAAATAACTTGTTCTCCTGAACACTGAGTGGAATACACGCTTTAAGGCTAAGTCATTTGAAATGAATGGGTGTTTATAGATGTGTTCCAGGAGGTTGCGGGGAGGGAGGGGAAGGCACTTTAATTAGCGAGCCATGCTAATTATAAGTGCCTGATTGTCAAGTGTATCAGCATTCAATGAGCTTTAGTTCAAAGCGCCCCATTGCCATTTTTCAGCGTGGGGACACTGATACACGTGACGCTGGAGGCTGATAGAGCATGTTAATTTCCGTGCTCCAGCAGACTCGATGATTTAATCAAGTCTGCTCCGATGTGCTGGATTTACAGTGTGTTGGAGCAGCCTCCTGGCATGTGTGTAAATGCCCAGTGATTCTAAAGATAGGGCAAGAGTAAGAGTACTAGTGAGATGTAACAGAAGCGGCTTTAAGATTAATCATCAATAAAGAAATCCCCCCATCCTTTCACTACAGCTCCCATTTTTTGCTGCTTAACTGTCAAATTTTAAAAAGCCCATTACAGAAGCTCTTGAAATACAATGATTAAACTATTGATATTTTGCACCCTGCCTTACCCGTTCTTCAGGGGAGGTGTTTTCGTCCAGGTTATTCAGGGCATTTTCTACCCGGGCCAGACGACCTGACAGGGAGAGTAGTAGGTTGACCACTTTGTCCAGGTCCCCAATAAACATCCTGAACTTGTCAAATTCATTTGGCTTGCAGACTTCTTTCACAATGGCTTCTACCTCTTCCCCTAGCATATTGTTGGCTTGGATGTCTTCCAAAAGCGTCTCTCTAGCTTCTCTCAGCACCTGTAGCTTCCTACTGATGCTGTCAATGAGCTCTTGCTGTTGAGAACAAAATGAGGCAAGGATTTATTAGTGGCACGTGGCATCTTCCACTTCTACTGTAGCAAAACCCCCAGTTTTTCTTTTTCTTTTTAAAATGCATTCCCTCCCCTTCCCCAACCATTTCTGACTTTGTCTCTCCCTCTCTGTTCCCTATAGATAAATATAAGTGAGCTAAGACATAGGATAAGCTTCAGCATTTTATTTTGGTAGCAAGTTGTATTTGTTTTGTTTTTTCTCCTTCTTTACATTGTATAATTATTATGTTTATATTGATTTTTACTGTTCTATATTACTGTTTTACCGGTACGATATGATTTAGGCCTACATATGTAAGTTAGCATAAGTCATGTCAAGTTTCCATTTTGTTTGTCAAGTCTCCATCCTGTCCCCAGGCCTAGTTGTGTAACACATGACTCACACCTACCCCTCCTATGTAACTTGGTTCCTGAATGAGTGGGGATGAATGAGGGTGCTTGAGAGACAATGGCAGGAGGTCTAAAAATAGCTCCCTCCGAATGACCAAACCATCAACACCAATACCTGGACCAACAACCCAGCCTTTGGAATCACCCTCAGCATTCAAGCAACAAAAGATGAGGCAACCCACCATTGTGCCAGGCTGCACATGCTTAGTAAGAACACCTGGAGCCCTCTGGGGCAGGACTGACCTTGCCTGGACAGGCCCTCCCCATAGGAGATCAGAGGTAGTCTGCCCCATAAAAGGGGTACTGAAGACTGACTCCTTGGGACACCTTCTCCATCTGGACCAGCACCATGCCACACCACCTATCCACCCAGAGGCCCTGTCGGTTACCGCCCTCCAGACAACACCTGCTGGACAAAGAACACTTTCCAGTCTGGATAGGTAGCTATCACCCTCCACCCCCTCTTAAACCAAGGACTTGGACTCTGCTTCTCTTCTCCACCTGGACTCCAGCCCTTCCACTGAGTCTCTTTCTCCTGCTGCCATTGTGAGTGCTTGTGTGTGTGTGTGTGTGTGTGTGTGTGTGTGTGTGTGAGAACCAATAATTTCATGGGGCTGTGTAGTGTGTTGTCTGTTTAATAAACTTGTTATTTTGAAACCCTGAGTTGGGTTTTTCTCTGTTTCCTGACTGTTTCCTCCTAGCCACCACTTATCTGCCCCCCCCCCACAATGTCTAAGCTGCCAGCCTCAGTTTCCAGCCCCAAGCTCCCAGGTTTCTGCCTCTCTCTCTTTCCTGGCTGTCTCCTCCTTGCCACCACTTATCTGCCACCCCGTGCCCAATATCTCAGCTGTCTGCCTTAGCTTCCAGCCCCAGTCTACCTTAAGTAACCCCAAACCTCAGTTCCTCAGCCAGATTCTCTGTAGTCCACTGGTTCTAATCCTGGTTCTGGCAACTTTCACTCCCTACACTCTCTCTCTCTCACCTTAACCTTCCCCAAGTATTCCAGGTACCCCAAGCGCACACACACACACACACACACACACACTGTACTATCCAAGTTAGGAACTTACCCGTGTGTATGTGTAGGTGGGTTGTATGTGTGTGAACTGGTGAGTGTGTGTGTGTGTGTGCGTGCGTGTGTGTATGTATATATATGTCATTGTGTGCATGATATACGAATTAGTGATCTGTGTACGTGTACTGAGTATACGGGTATGGACAATTGATTTGTCTAACTTTTGGGGTGTATAGTGTATGTGCTTGAATTGGTGATAGGTATGCATGTGCCTAGGCTGGTTTGGATGTGTATGTGCTTGAGTGTGTGTGTGTGTGTATGCACCTAATTGATTTGTGTGTGTTTGTATATGTGCAATTGTGTTACACCCTCCTGTCTAACAGTGCAATACTGAGACCCTGAGAGTTGGCCTGACCCCACAGGGCAACACTGCTGTTGAAACTTATACCAAAAATAGCACACTGAAATTCTGTATACTTAAGGAATGACTCTGCACATAACCAAACACATTTTATGCATTCGTGTTGCATGTTGTATCTTATTTTTGGGCCTTGTCAGACATTACTGATATAAGAAGTATGTTTGGAATGCTGATGAACTTTCATCTGTGCTACCCATAATCAGCGCATGGTGACAAACCACTATTGTGGCAGAAGTTTTAGTGACCATTATTTCTTCTCTGTTAAGCAGCTTTCAAAGCCTGTTGTTTTGCATAAGACAATAAAAGATTTAGCTATACAGCATCACTGGCACAATACTGAGCCCAACAGTCCATCCTCAGAATATTCTGAAGTACAATGATTCTTAGGGTGGAGAAACAAAATCTGGGAATACATTTCTGCGTTTTCCACACAGTAGGGATAATACTAACACAGAGCTTACTATGCTACTTTATTTTGTTTATTCTATTTAATTCTTCCCCCCTTCTTTTCCTTAATAATACTAATGATCAAAAGAAGGTGCTATTGAAGCACTATCAGAGGATCTCTGGTCACCTCCAAAAACTGATTAATGCTAAAACATCTAAAGTACTATTCCTATTACTGTAAATAGAAAGGAAAACTAAAGGCATGGACACAAATGCATTTTAGTTGCTTTAAAAAGGGGAACTTCTTCTCAGGAACACACTTCAACTGCACATGCAGACAGACAGCTCTAACCCAGAACGAAACAGGGTTAAAGTTGGAACAGTTTTGCTACACTTGTGTATTGCTACAGAATCATGCCAACGAAGAGTTGTGTTCTAAAAGGTTCTTTTAGTGTCCTCTGATATTAAAACAACTGTTAAAAATGTCTATATTCTCGGATGTCTGTGTTCCCCAACCAACAGTTGATAGGCAACATTCCTCTGTTATTCTTTGCAGCCACAGGAAATTAATAAGTTAAACTAAAGTTTTGAAAAAGTTAAAACTTTGGTGGACAGAATGAATAGAGTATGACACTGCCTGCAGCTCAGTACTGTTGCCTAAGGGCCAGTGAAGGCTGAGGACCACTGCTTCAGGTCATTCAGTGAGTCACTAGGACCCGAAACCAGGTCTGCTGTTTTAGGATATGTTTACATCACATATTTTTAACATCTCCCAGCAGGAACTCTCCCAAGGACACCCTGCTCAACTGCTGCTGCTTGCATGTACCCAACCAACAAAACACAGTACAGTCATACTGTAGGTTGGCCCTCTGCAGCTGCTCTCGAGACCTCAGTCTCCAGGCTGTTGAGAGCATCCACTCAGGAAAACCAGGGGGCAGCTTTAGCACCACATTTCTGGGTCTGGTGTAAGTGGGGGAAGTGGGCAACACGTACTGGGGAGCTTCTCTACCAGGACAGACCAGAGAAGTGAGGTAGAAGCACCTTTAGTGTGTTTGGCTCTACATGTGTGTGTCTGGTGCTTTGTTGACAAGTGTTTCATAAATATGACTGTATTTACTTGAATCCAAGACAAAGTTATTTTCCCCAGTCAACATAGGCACAAAAGCCCCTTATCTTGCTTGCGGGGGGGTGAGGGGGGCAATGCCAGGCTGTATAGGCACAGCACACAGGCATGTACTGATGTCAACAGCTTATTTCAGGAAATTCATACAACTCAGCCACCCTGCCAGGCCCAATTATATGTTGAAAATATTACCGAGTTTTTTTGAAGGTATGAATTGAAATATTCTCATTATCTGGGCTGGTTTGCTTTTTTTTTTTTATTTGATAAACTCAAGGCAGGTCAATACGGATTCACGTTATCTGTTTGGGTGTCCAAAAGATTAAGTTAGTAAGCAGTTTTACAGATGCATGCTCTACTTTCTGATTAATCTGACAGATTTCTTTTTTTATCTAAATACAAAGAGGGTTTGATTTGGATTAACTGGGTCAGCCTGCTGCACTCATTTCTTAGGATGACATGCAAATTTAATGACCTTACTGTTTTAGCATCTGACACATGGCTGTATTCTGTGCCTTTATCATAGCTTTTCAGTTCTGCAGCTGTGCTATGGTTTCTCTGCCAAAAATAAATGTTTGTAGCTTGCCAAATGTTCTAGAGTGACAATATGAAGGCAAAAATCTTGTTTTCCACCAAAAATGCACAAGGCCAGGAAGCTTGACAACTGTGTTCTGCTAAAATGTTTGAGGTCAATATTGCTGAGTTTTTGGTTGTAACCGTGATGGTCTAAGGACATAGGCAGACAAGGTTCTTTGGTTAGATGTGGTATATTTTATTAGACCAGCTGAATAGTTGGAAAAAAGTTCTTAGCAAGCTTTTGGGTGCAGTCACCTTTCATCAGGCATATGGAGTCTCTGCTGGTCTGAGACTCCAAGGAATGAGAGAAGCTAAAAGTGTAGTAGGATGTCAGTGAAAATGTAAATGGGTAGAGATAAGCAAGACAAAAGGTAAAGCAGGGGAGGGGAGGGAGAAGAGAGCAGGGGGAAAGAAAAAAAGGGGTCAGAGGGAGACAACTGTGATAAAATACAAGGTGGAAAAGAGGCTGTCTGTGAAAAAGGGAATAGTTGGAGATCACGAAAGCTGGAGTGAGAGAAGCTAAAAATGTGACAGGATGTCAGTGAAAATGTAAAAGGGCAGAAATTAGAAAAGCAAAAGGTAAAGCAGGGAAGGGAGCGCAAAGAAAAAACATGGGGCAAAAAAGGCCAAAGGGAAAACACTACAGTGGTAATAGTAACGTAAAAAAGAGACTATAAATAAAAAGGAAATGGTAGGGAACCAGGAACAAAAAGGGCAGAAAATAGGGGCAGGGGAGGGGAGAAAACAAGAAAGATGTGGGAGGTCAGGTCAGGCAGATACCAGGTGAAACAGATGTCAGGCAGGTTGTAATGTGTCATAAATCCAATCCATAAATCCTGAGGTCAGTATTGAAAGGACTGCCTTTAAAAGGTGAGCAGGTGTGTCAGTATCCAAGCTCTCAGCCCTTTTTAGGCTGTACATTAATTTGGGAACTGAACTAAAACTATTAGCTCCTTCCATAAAGGCCAGACAACTTTCAGAAGAAAGCCACTTCATGCTCATTACTGATCTTTCCAAAGCAGAACTGTGAGACCTCTACAGATATTAAAAAGTATATGTTTTATCAGTAATCTACTGCCTTAAATTTTGAAATTGGACTGGTTGTGAATTATGAATATACCATTTGCTAGTGAAGCCAAGAACAATCTTGATTCTCCAGAATAACTGCTGTTTTGAACAGCAGCACTGGAATGGACTGAAATCTTGCCAGTTTCCCCTTAGCTGGTGCTTGGCAGAAGGACACTTATTTATATTTGCTGGTTTCCATTCAGTTTATGGCAATATTTCATATCAGATTCATGTCTGAAAAGGCTAGAAACTTAGGGCCAGCTTCTATTCTACTTATTGGGTACCCGAGTACAATCTTAGTTCACCCTCACATCCCTAAAAACATTAATGGACCTATTTTTGTAATAACACATCAACTAACCTTACAACTAACTTACAAAAAGCAGTGAGCAGGAGGAGAATCCATCTATTTTTAGTATTAACTATTCCTTAAGGACTTGAGGAGAAAGGAACCAGGATCACACATGGGTGCTCATTTTTTCTAAAATGAAAGGTTACATTCTTCAGAAGTTGCTAGCAGTTGCCCACAAAACATTTTGTGCATCATGAATAGGCTTTTCAAATATAGTAATACATCAAAGTCCCCTGTCATGTCCTGCTGCATCTGTTCAAATCTATTCATTTGTGGTAATCCTACTTCAGCTCAGTATATAATGTATTTACATCATCCCAGCATTTTCTCCATTACGGTGATTGTCTAAAATCACGTAAAATGCACTTGCTCCAATTTCTCTGCATAACATTCTCACACCAGTCCGAAGCGCACAGCACCATTTTAGAAGCTTAAAAAAAATAATGAGGACAACCAATGCATTGCTGCATTGACTTCATCAGTGCAATAAATAGAATGGTAAGTTTAAGAACATCCTGGAAAATCCAGAATCATTAATCTGAGCTTTAATTAAAATGGTGATTTCCTGTATGAGAACTGGTATTATTCCAGGAATCAAGAACAAGGTCTCAAATACATAGTGTTTCTCTTCAGAGAACAACAAAAAAGGGATCTTTCAAGCTTGCAAGACCTAAAAGCTTTTCTTCTTTAATTTTATGGCACTGGCCATATTTATATTTACATAATTTGTTTTTACTGGGGTGTATGTGTGTACAGCATATGTAAGTCCAAAAGCACATTTGGGCTTGAAAGACTGTGCATTGTGGTTGGCTGACTGAGCCAGTGCAAAAGGTCTTATTTTCTAACTTTTGCATTTTTCTAGTCAAAATGGCTAGAATTTTGATTAAAAATTAATAAAAACATAAACTAAAAGCACTGATTATGCTTCACTATTATACAGACCACATAAAATGTTACAAGAATAATTACAGCCTCTCTCTACTCTAGTAAAAAATACTTCAAACTGCAGTGTCTAATAATTAGACAGTTATGAGAAAAATAAATTGCTTGTCAGCCTTAAGAAATCTCCCTTTCTTAAAAAAGGATCCTCTTTTTATGCCAGTTAAAGGACATTTCTACCAGTTTTGATCACTAAGTGCACACTGGAAGTTGATCGTTATGCTAATTGAAAGGCTATACTGTCCCTTGTATTGATACCTTAGCAAATAGAGTTAAATTAGATCACCCTGGAGAAAAAGAAACCTAAAGGCGCAGCTGTCTTGCCCAATTTCTCAGTAATAGGAAGCAAGGTTAAAATCTGTCTGTGCCAAATCTCAAACAAAATGAACTTGATGATATCAATACAGTTCCACTGATACTTTCTGAAACCACAGAATTACCACACCAGACAGCATTCCTGGACTGAAATACGGTGTCAGAACACCATAAGGAAGTACTGCAGAGGACTGTGGTTAGTGGTAGTGACTGAGCTTAACGCAGTACCTACTGAACTCTGTATCTAGGTTCAAAACAATGCTACAAGTCTGTTGATTTAATGACCACTGAAAGCTGAACAATGGCCTAATTTTTCAGAAGTATGGAGCAGCTCTCGCAGCCATAATTTTCAAAGGATTTTGGGGTGCAAATGCACCGACACACAGGTACACACATGCACATACTTCTGTTAAAAAAAAAAAAGAGCATCTTACTTTAGGTTCCTAAGTCCACTAGGGGACAACTAAAAAGCGGCCTGATATTTTCAACAAGCCCAAACAATCAGAAGCTCCCCATGGCTTAAAGCAAGCATCCTAAAGGAGAGGTCTAAACCAGTGTTTCTCAACCCATGGGTTACAATCCAAAAGTGGGTTGCAAGAAAGGTTCACAAACAAACTTTAAAAATGGATTCTCCTTTAAAGGAGAAAAATGTGGGAAACTGTGGCTTTTCCCTTGCTGGTTGCATAGTGACACTGGGGGGCTGGGACCTGGAGGAGAGGGGGCGGGCAGCAGGTCAGAAGTGAGGGAACTGGCCATCGATGTTTACAACTGGGTCCTGGTACAAAAAAGGTTGAGAACCACTGGTCTAAACGATGGATTTAACTACAAAACTGTAGTTTTGTAAATCCTATTATATAAAATTCAACTGCAAAATATTTTGTTACCTTTTTTTCTGACAAGTCATGATCCAGCTCATCTTCAGAATCCTCCTCACTCTGCTGCTGTTGCTGTTGCTCCTGCATATCCTTCATTTTAATCAGCAACTCTGCCTTGGGTGCAGATGTACTGTAGTAAGTGGAACTGGTTGTCAGGGAGATGGCAGAAGGCACGTTCTGCTCCTCTTTCCTGGTAAAAAATCAAAACTTCAAATAACTGCCTGACAATGTGATCACTGAAAAAGAAAAAGCATTCTTTCAAACCTATCATTTTGTCAAGTAAATGGGGAGGTTAATGGAAAAGAAAAGATAACTAGGGAAACAATGTAGGGTCAAATGTATGAAGAAAGTGGCATTGCTACACTGAAGTCAAAAAAGCTAGTTATCAACAAAGGCAAATACTAAAGTACTAGATTTTCAAGATGCATTACATGAACATGTTTAGAGTAAAATACCATATATACTCTAATAGAAGATGACCCCCATAATAATTAGATTCTATATATGGAAAATTATACATTTGTTATTGTTTTCTAGGTATAGAATCTAATTATTGGAGATTTACTTTGAATTTGTCCCCCCCTCCCACTGTTACACCAGGAACAATAAATTGGAGGGGGAGAAGGCATCAGGTAGCCTCCTTGCCTTCTGTCACCCCAACTTCTTTCCTCTGCAGCCCCTTCTACCCTTCCTTACTGTCAGACACTTCTCTCCCTTAGTATATGGAAGTGAGAAGTGAATTTGAAAACAATGACCTAAGAATAAACATACCTGTAGTAACTTGCATACAGGGAAATGACTACAGTTAAGCATAGACTTAAACTCATCCAGAACTGATACATTTCACCTCTTGAAACTGATGCAAGTTTTAGCACAGGTACTCCATAAACAATTTAAGTAGCACTTTTGTACCAACTTGTACGAGGGGTGATCAAAAAGTTCTAAGACTCAGCCTTTATTTTAAAGAACAGTGTACAAACAACATTTTTATGAGCTGTCCCCTTCCAAGTAATCTTGCCCAGATGATATGCACTTGTCCCAACGTTCCTGCCACTTTTGGAAGCAATGCTGGAAGTCTTCAACTAAGTTTCTTGAGTTCTGCTTTCACGTTCTTATAGATGGTTGGAATGTCATCAAATCTCCTTCCTTTTAACTTCATTTTGATTTTCGGGAACATAAAAAAATCACATGGGGCAAGGTCAGGTGAATATGGAGGGTGTGGTATCACAGGAACATTTTTTACAGCCAAAAATTCTTGAATGGAGACAGCAGTGTGTGAAGGAGTGCTGTCATGGTGCAGAAACCATCGACCATTTTCACACAGCTCATGGTGGTTTCTTCTAACTTTATCCCTCAATTGAATCAAAACCTCTTTATAAAAGGCCTGATTGATTGTTTGACCAATCAGTACAAATTTCTGATGAACAACACCCCGAACATCGAGTCTTAGAACTTTTTGATCAAACCTCGTATATACAGTAAAATCCCTGTTAGCTAGCATGAGTAGGGAATGTGGGTGCTGGGTATCTAAAAATGCCAGTTAGCTAAGGAGTATGGGTCTCCAGACAGATATGGAGCAGGTGGGAAGAGGTGGTGGTGGTGGCTGCACACAGAGGGGGGGACGGGAAGGGGTAACAGCAGCTGCGTGCAGAGTGGGGGCAGCATGCAAGCTTTTCCCCCTCACTGCGTCTGGCCAGCTGGAAATTCTGGTTAGTAGTGTTCCAGATAGTAAAAAGCCGGATAACAGGGAACAGTACAAACTATGCATGATATTAGTCCAAAGCCAAAAGGCTCATGATTTACCATACAATTCACTGGTCTGGGTACCAACAGAAACAACAGCGTTTCAAGCCATGGTGACCCCATAGCTCAGTATGTGTGTGTACTCCAGATACCCCCCACAAAGGGTCCAGGTGCTAATTGGCCACCCACTCATGACCAAAACTGGGTGCTTTTATCGTGAGTCCT